CTCCAAATCCTTGACACCAAGGTAACAGAAGTTCCCCCAAGTCCCCAAACCACATATGGATATGAGTGGGTTCCAAAAAAACTCTTAGAACAATGAAATGAAATTGGAAAGATAATGAAATTTCCCCCTTCATACAGCTGGGACAGTGCATTCTCAATGTGCAGAAAGCCATGTAAGAATGTATTCTTTTACAATAATTTTTTGTTTACCTAGCTCTTTTGTGTTTTCCCTGTTTTGACCTTTTCTGTAAAAATTTACAGTATATTTGACAGACTTTAAAAATTGTCACTAACTGCCAAGACATGCCTGCAAAGTATATTTTTATTTCTTCTAAAAGTTTTTTAAAATCAGTTTGCCAGTATAACAGTTGCCCAGGAATGAAGTAATTCTGAGTGTCACAACACCTCCAGCTCATAATTTCTTCATGAAATTTATGGGTTGGTTGTGGTGAAAATGCCAAGTTTGCAAGAGACCAGAAATATTAGCTGTATAATGACTTTTGGAAAAAAGTACAATGATAAAGGCTTTTCTTCCAGTAATATTAAAGCAGCGATAAGGTCGGGTGGGGAGCCACAGGTTATCTCTGGCTGGATCAGACACGGGTTTCTCAGGCTCGCCCAGAAAGTAGCTCAACACACCCTTCTCTCCGTCGAGGAGGAAATCCAACACTTGCCCATATACTTACTCCTACTGGTAGCGATTCGTACAGCAGAGTCGAACTGACCCACGGGTTTTCCTACACTGCAATCCTCACTGAAACTTTCTTGGAGCTGACTCCTAACTTTCATCTCTAGCTCTACGGCCAGGGGGCTTCTGAAGGCCCAGGACCCGAAGGAAAGAGAAGGAGCGAACGGAAAGGTATTGGAAGAACCCAACAAAACCAGAAAAACCATTGCGGTGCAATCGATTGATAACCCCTTTAAGACCCACTGACAAATAATCGGTTCCCATCATTGCTATCCTACAGGACGGCGAAGAATTGGTCTGTGGTTTTGAGGACTGTAGACCTTTATCGGCGCAGAATGCATCTTTCTCCTCCAGAGCAGCGGGTAGGTTTGAAACACCATCCTCGAGTTAAACGACAAACGCTACACGCACCGCGCCACCAGGGACTCTATGTAAACTTCTAAATGCCTACACACTTGTAGACACACTGGGCGCGACACCCTGTTGCCTTGGAAACCAAGCCGGTAACCACTCCCTTCCTCCTCAGGGACCTAGGCACCCACTCCAGGGCCCGGGCTGGTGGGCTGGAGGAAGGTGGGAGCCCGTAGGAGGGCGGGGGTCGTCTCCCGAGGCCCGGCCCGCAGCCTCATTTCCCGGAGCGCCTACCGAGTAGAGGTGCAGCACGGCGCTGGGACTGGTGGAGCCGGCAGGCAGACGAGAGCGTGAGGAACTGGAGGGATCCATCGCGCGTCCGTCCTCCCAAGTGGGTCTGGGCTGCCTCGCTAAACGATCAGGGTGCCGCAGCTGCTGGGGGCGGTTCTTTCGCGCTGGGCGGCCCGACTTCGCCTAGGGCGGCAGCACTCCCTGCGGCCGCTCCGGAGGACTCCGGGCGCCGCCATCTTAAGCAAGACGGAAGCCGCGTGGGGACCGGTCGCGCGCGCGCGCGTGCGCAGATCCACCGGAACCCGGAAGCGGGCGCGGGCCGGTCCCGCGGCAGACTCCGCGATGGCGCACGCGGAGCCGCTGGCGTCTGGTCCTCTTGCCAGCTCCGAGACGCTGCTGGATACTTTGCTGCTGAATCTCTACGACTTCGGTGAGCCCGGGTCTCGGGAGCCCACGTGCACAGGAGACTTGAGAAGCGAGGGTCAACGGTGCGCCCGCAAATGGTGGGAAGGGGCTTACCAACGGTACTGACTTGGTTCTGACTGCCCCCGAGCCCGAGTCCGGTCCTGGGGCGGCGTTCGTGAGAGTTGATGGTCACCCACCAACTGATCCCGAAGCAGACCACATAGAATCCCTAGTAACGCTGTAATCCGTTTTAATTATAGAATAATGTAAGGGTTAGTTATACATTGCCCAAATGTAATATTTCTTCGATTTTACGAGTAATAATAAATTTGTAAATTTTTTCGGCGAATTATGAGGTACATTATTAGTAACTTAGCGGAAGCCTTTAATTTTTCCTTTTCCTTTAATTTTTACTTTATTCTTTTTTTTTTAATTTTTTTTTTACTTTATTCTTTTAAAAATCATTGATATGCGTTCACAACTATTTAAGTTACCGCAATATTATAGCTAAAACACCAGACTATTTGACAAAATCATATATTCTTAGGAGGTCCAATAACAAGCACGAAAGAAAACAACCACATAACGTCCCCACCCCCAGCCAGTCCTGGGGCTTTGGGGCTCGCCTCTAGGGGAGTCCCTCTGGGACATGGGGTACAGTGAATGGTGTGACCCTTTGCTGGGCATGCCTACACAGTAGGGGATGCCGGGCCCCTCTAGGGTTTCCAGTTTGGGCTCCAATACATGTCTTCCCTTTTGCTTAAAAAAGAAAAAGTAAACAACCACATCAATTGGGTAATAATGACAACTCACTGCCATCGAGTTAATTGTGACTCATGGTTGTACCATAGGACTGGGAAGAACTCCTGTGGGTTTCTCAGACTGTAACTATCGGAGTGGAAAGCCTAGTTTTTCCCCAGAGAAGTGACTGGTGGTTTTGTGAACTGTTAACCTCACTCGTACCATTGCACCATTACTCCAGGACGGTAAATTAAAGGTTTAAAAAGTAAATTAGCAAAGAGTTTTAGTCTTGTAGATATAGTGATGCGTATACTGGGCTTAGAAAAGATGTTTTTGTTGTTCTAACTAATTACAGGGATGTTTGAAATCACCTACTCACACATTGTCACCTGGTGCAATGTACTGTATACCCCTGTTCTAGTGACAGCACTCCTGAGATTCTTTTTCCTGCCTCTGCAATGGACTCTGTTGAGTTATTCTCATGCATCAAGCTTCTAACCCTTCCCAGGACAAACCTGGAAAACCAGGGCTTTCAGGACTAGTCCTGGTGGTATAGTGGGCTATGTTGGACTGTGAAGCCCAAGCCACCATTTTGTGGGACAAAGATGAGATTTTCAGTTCCTGTAAAGATTTACAGCCCAGAAGCCCACATTTTACTTTGCAATTCATTCTACTTTGTCTTATAGCAGTGGTTCTCTACCTTCCTAATGCGGCAATCCTTTAATGCAGTTCCTCATGGTGTGGTGAACACCTTCCCCCCAACCATACAATTATTTTCGTTGCTACTTCATAACTGTAATTTTGCTACTGTGATCAATCGGGCGACCC